GATGAGAGGGAGGAGACTGAAGAGAATGAGGAAAAGACTGCTGAGACAAGTGGGCTTGGAGAATTGAAGAGCAGAGAGCAAACTAGTCAACCCCTCAGGATAAGAAAGAAGAGGCAGCAGCGGATCTTGGATAAAGGAGAAGGGTGTAAGGAGGCTGGAGGGGGAGGTCAAGGTCAAGGATGTGGAGAACAGAGCATACCCATGCAGTGGGGGCAAGAAGAGGAGGCAACGTATGGAGGAGAAGCACCATTTGAACACAGATGAAGACGGTGGGGAGACTGCTGTAGATGGTAGGACCAGGGAAGCAGCAGGCAGAGCATGCCGTGATCCAGACAGCAGGAGAAAGAAGAAAAGGCAGCGGTGTCAAAAGCAGCAGGTAGTCCTGGAGGTAAGGGATAGAGATGAGAAGACTGCAGGAGGCAGGACTGGGGAAGTAGAGAGCAGAACACACCCTGGCGCATGCAGCAGGGAGAAGAGGAAGCAGCGGCGTCCAGTGGAGGAAGGAGCCGGAGTCAACACAGGTCAGAGAACCCAAAAGAAGAAACACAATAGACCCTAAAGGCCTGGTCAAAGTGGGGTCCAGGTGGTTCCTTTTTAGGAATTAGAGCCGCAGAAACATGAGTCAATTCAGGTCTTCTGTACCACTCTCAGTGGAGTGAACTGCACTCTGGATTACCTATCTGTTGAGAGAAGAGTGGTAGAGCCATGCATGCCTAGGCTGAGATAACAGGTGTGGGGCTCTTTGCATTTTCAAGATCATGAACTCAGGTAGGAGATAGGCAGCAAAAGACAAAAACCAAAGTGTTACAATGAAATGTGCAAAGGGCTGGAGTTAGAAAGCCAGAAAGAAGGAATACACTTGGAATTTCTCAGGCTGAAAGGACTGAAGAATAATCTCAAGTTTTTGGTTGCAGTAGTGAAGGATTGTATGGGCAAAGCCTTAAATGATGCAGGAAGCATCAAAAGAAGATGGAAGGAACACACCGTCATTGGTCCAAATAGAACTGGTCAACCCTGAAGCTTTTCAGGAAATAGTATATAATAGAGAACCAATGGTAATGAAGGTGGTTGTTCAAGTTGCACCAGAGGCACTGGCAAAAATTAAGGCCCCAGGAATGGATGAATATTAGTTAAGGTGTTTCAATAAACACATGTAGGAATTCCTAGAGGATGCCCTGTCAATCTATCTTGTCTGTTGTTTCTCTGAGAAATGTCACCATATCCTCAGTGTCCTCAAGCTCTAGCCACCCACGACCCCATTTCTAAAGAGGAGGAAAACAGACACCCTTTGAAGGGGTATCTTTGCCTCAGTTCAGGCTGAATGCCAACACTGAGGCTTTCTACTTTGTCAGATCCCTTTATTTTTTAAAAAAGAGAGGGCATAAAATAGAAGACTTAAAAAAAAAAGATGGCCTATCTCTTCCTGTGTGATTTAAGGCCTCTGGAAACCTGCTGCAGGGGCAGCCGTGAGTCAGTTCTGACTTGATGATACACAATAACAACAAGTCCTACTTCCAAATGTGGTGATAGTCACAGCCCCAGGACGGGTTTAGACATTTAGAGTTCTGAATGGTCCTCCTGCTTTGGTCTTGATCGACCTGCAGGTTAAAGGCCTCAGCTCACCCTTCACAATGTCAATGCTCTCTAATATGACTTTCTATCCAGGGTCCAAATTTTTATGTCACAAGACCACACAAAAATGAGAAATATATTTCCCTTTCCTACCTCAGGTCCATTTCACTGTTTCTATGACTGTCCCAGCATCAATTTGTTTCTGGAACATCTAACAACATCTATCCTCTGTTTGGGAAATGCGGGATCCTTCCTGTGAACATTTGGTAAACATGATTGAGCCAAAGCTATCTGAGCTCCATTTATTACTTCCTTACACTTAAAAATTCCAAAGACACGCTGTTTGAATCACCAGATGTTCTGCGGGAGAAGGATGGGCAATCTTCCATGTGATTTTTTGATTCTTAACACCCACTGGAGGGTCTGCTATGGGTCGGTTCTGACTCAACAGTAGAACAACAACAATTCCTTGGAAAGGGACATCATGCTTGGATAGGTAGACGATCAGTGAAAGACAGGAAGACTCTCAATGAGATAGGTTGGCACAGTGACTGCATCAATGGGCTCAGGTATGTCAGAGATGATGAGGACGGCACAGGACAGGACAGGGGTCAGGTCCGTAGTTTATAAGGTCACTGAGTCATGCTTGACTCGATGACACCTCATAAGAAGAACAAGAGCACTGGTTTCACAAACACTCATATACAATTTTTTTATGATGTTAATGATAAATAATGCAACTGCCCTCTTCCCCACGTTCTCCCTGTGACTCTTATTTTCACTAACCCCTCAATCCTACACCTTTCTGCCTTTGAGATTTATTCATGGGTAAATATTACCCTTTTGGTATCTTACATGATTTACTATTGTAATGAGCGAGTGTCTTCCTGGTGTTATTTATCTTACGGGTCTGTCTAATGTTGGGCTGCAAGTTAAGCCACTGGAGTTTTGTTCCAGGTTCAAAGAGTAACTGAAGGGTGTGATCTTAGGGTTTTGGCCAGTATCTGTCAGGTCATTAGGCTTGGCTCTTTTCTATGTTTCTGGTTTTGCTCCACATTTTTCACTCTGTCCAGGACCTTCTACTATGCTTCCTGCTAGATTGATCAGCAGTGGGAGCTGGCACCATCTAGTTTCTTCTGGTCTCAGGGTTTTGGAGGTTGAAACTCATGTGGTTTATTAACCCTGTAAACTATAATACAGATTTTTAGGGGGTACAAGTCATAATAGGGATGATAGAATATATAGAAATAATAAAAAGACCAAGGGGCACATTAAAAAATATGCCTCTGAGTAAATTATGTAGAGATGAGACAATCTACCCAAAATTAGTGAATAAATGTGTAAAATTAGACGTTAATTTACCTTGCTGGAGTAACGAAAAAACCCTATAAAATATCTGTGCATAGAATCTAAATTCTTCTTAAAGTCATCACATTACAGGGCTTATGCTAGGAATTGTAAGAGAGTTTATAATTAGAAAGTCTGTTAATAGGATTTACCCCATTATCAAAGAATAGCACATAGGAATATATTACAACAATAAATGTTTTTAAGATGTTCATTAAAATTTCCTGTTTATGATATTAAAATTAAAAAAATCTTAGCAAACCAAGAATAAACGTACTTTTCTCTGCTCTACAAATAATATCTATTCCTAATGACTGTCATCATATAACCTTTAATGCTGAAATCATAAGGGCATTTTCCTATTCTCAGAAACAAGAAAATTATGCTGCTAACATACTGCTACTCAACAGCTGTACTAGAGGTCCCAGCTGACGTAATGAAAGAGAAAAGAGAAAAATTAAATTGTTGCTGTTATGTGCTGTTGAGTCCCCTGCGACCCATTAGAGACCCTGTGTACAGCCGCTCTGAATTCGGCCCTGTCCCGAGCCAATCTCACTAATTCCCACACCAACCCTCTTTGCTCCAGTCACTGTATCAATCCGTCTCATCTGGGGTCTTCCTCTCCTGCACCGTCCCTCCACCCTTCTGAGCATGAGGTCCTTCTCCAAGGACTGGCCTCTCCTGGCCACGTGCCCAAAGTATGTGAGATGGAGCTTCAAAATCCTATCATCCAAGGAAAAAATTTGGTTTGCAAATAGTATATCTGTTTGAATGAATGGAATAATTGAGTATGTTTTCTCTGTGCATAATTAAGTTCAATAGTTGGGTAAGTTCAATAATTGAGTAAGTTCAATGTGCATAAATCAGATGCATCCTTAACCAAGATCAACTCATCATAAAATAGACTTTCCAAAAACCCCAGCATTTACAGATAGTATAAAAGCTTGTAAAGTACCTTGCTTTTGAATTGTGGTGTTGGTGAAGAATGTTGAACGTACCATGGGATGTAAAAATACCAAATATGTCTTGAAAGAGGTGCAGCCAGTGTGCTCCTGAGACGCAAGGCTGCAGCAGTGGGCTTATCAGCTCAGCAGAGATTGTCAAGGAGACACGGCATCCGGCACGGTTTGGTGCTTCTGTACATCACATTGCTATGAATCAGAGCTGATTTGATGGCACATAACATAAGGTACTTGTATGTAAAGCTAATGGTAATTGTGCAGAGAAAACTTCATAGAAGGGCATAAAAGAGCAAAGTGAGAGACACACTATCTTTATGATATACCCCACCCCAAATATTATATATTAATACCATATTATATATCTATATAATGATATATATTGTTGTTGTTAAGTGCTGTCAAGTCACAGGCAACTCATAGCGACCCTATGAAGAAGAGTCCTCAACGCTTGGGTGTCTTTCATCCTCTCTCCAGTTTCATAGGGTTTCCAGAGGCAAGCTATTATGGGAGTGGATGCCACTCCTCCTTCCAAGAATTATATATTAATATTACATATCTATACATTCAATTCAGTTCTAGTAAAAATCCTAAGTGATGTATTAGTAGATATTGACAACTTTAGCTTAAAATTTCTTGTGGAAGAATAAAGGGCCAAGATAATGTTGAAAGAATATGTTCCCTTCAGGGGAACCTATACACAATGGCATTCAAGATTCAACAGTGTAGACAGTGGTGATGCCCTGAGAGTGGTGGGACTTTGAATGTCCAAGAAGAGCCGAGCTGAGCCATGACCTTGACTATTCCCCAAGGACTGCTAGATGAAATGGAACTAAGTTCTAGATTCTTTATTCAATTTTTAATGTCTCTTTTGAGCCTCTGTCCAGGTTTGAAGGAAAACGACACTACATCCCAGGCCCAGGGCGGAGGGAGGAGGCTATCACACCTGTGGGTTTTCCCTCTGGCCAGAAGTCCCTGCAGACTCTGACTTGTCGCCTCAACAGTGACTTGGTCTGACGTGGTGACAGGTAGACAGTTTAATGAGGACAGGAAAGAAGGCCCATACCATGGAACCGAGCATAGGAAGACCCCCTTTTCTGGCTGCTGCCCGCCCCCGGACCTTCAGCAGTGGACGCAGTAAAGCTGGATGCTGCCACCAATCCGAAGCTCTCGCAGCCGTTCCAGGACCTTCTGGCTGAGGCTGGTGGCTCCCACTCCCTGTCCATTGAGTGCGAGCTTCAGGCCTCCCTCGTGACATAGGAGCAGCACCTGGGAACAGAGGTGAGGGTGAGCCCGGGTCTCTGGTCAGATCCTCCCTTGCCTGCCAGTGAGACCCTCTCCTTTTCTGAGAAAACAACAACTGGGGCCTGGAGGCAGTGTGTTTAGGAAGACAGGGGACTGAAGGAAGGTTCAGCTTGTCACCGGCTACTGCCACTTTAACCGGTCCCACAACTTGTAATAGGAATTGCTTTCCTAAATGACTGATTTCAGGTTGTGGCTGCACATTGGAGTAATCAGGAGAACTTTTTAATGACACTGATGCCCGGGCCTACCGCACTGCCATCCGGTGGATTCTGACTTGCAGGGAACTTCTGAGAAGGGAAGAGAATTCTCTGTGACATTTTGGTTACCATCCCAACACACGCACTTTGCCAGCAGATTTCCTTAGGGGGCTGCGCATGTTCATGAACTCTGGCTTTGCGTGTGTGTGATCCCTGACATCACCGCCAATGAGTGGCCAGGAAGTCCTCTCTGGCCCTTGAACTCCTTTCCTTCCATTCTCCCGGTGTGTGTGTGTGTGTGTGTGTGTGGTGTCTCTGCAAATTCCAAGGGTGTTATGGGAATGGAATCCTGGTCTCCATCCCAGAGGGAGGATGCTGCCACTCCTCAGACTTGCCTCGAAAAATCGCTGGTGAGAAAAGAGGAAGGGAGCCAAGATCAGCTTCCTGCGTCCCCAGGGGGAGATCCAGGCCAGAGTCCTGTCTGTGAAGGAAGCCCGGAGTGACACAGGCACTTGAGCCAGCTCGTCTCTCAGGCTCAGGGTGAAACTGCAAGGAAGAGAGTCAGGGAAGGGGATCAGCCTCTGCGGGTCAGAGGCCCTCGCTGAGCAGACACCCACATCTTTCTCCCACACAGTGGCTGGTGGATTCCGAGAGCCTTGACTTTTAAGTTAGCAGCCAATTGGGCTTAACCGCTGGCCAGGGATCCCCTGGAATAGGTCAGACTTGACAAGAGCTCTGAACTCCAGAACGTGTACAGATCTGAGCGTGAATGCCAACGCTGCCACCTACTGGCTGTGACACTACGGGCAAATGCCTGCCCTTTTCAACGTGGGGACCACAATCATATTAACAATATTATTGTTGTTGTTATGTGCCATCGAGTCACCTGCGACTCATGGCGACCCTATGTACAACGGCCCTAAATCCTGCTCTATCCCGTGCCAATCTTATTGTCTCCGACACACCTATTCTCATTACCCCAGTGCCTGAATCAATCCATGCCTATCAGCTCTCATCTGTCCAAGTCAAGCCATTAGTTGCTTTTAGAAAACAACACTAACAGTATTTATTGCAGACTTGCTACGTGTAAGGCACTGAGCCCATTCTTGATGCTCCTGCCTTCAGCTGAATCAGCCTCCATGGTTCTTAGTACTGTATTCTACAATATTCAGTTACTTGGATCCACAAGTTGGTTTGGGTTATCTCCGTCATTTTTCAGATGGGGAAACAGACTCAGAGAGATGTAACAACTTGCCCAATATCACAGAGGTAAAGCTAGGGGTCCAAGGCAGGATTGCCTGGCTCCATAGCCCATGCTGACCAGTCCTGGGCACTACACCTGCCCACGTTCACAGGCAAGATCAACAGCGTGCAAGGCCAGGGCGAGCAAGGTCCGTGCCTTAGAAAGGACAATGCTAATGGAATAAAGAGCTTTTACTCTACAAGAGAATTCTACTACTACCCACATCTGTTGAGCACTCACAAGTCTAAGAATTTACACCACTTTTGAAGTTGGCGCAATTATTATTCCTCTTTTACAGGTAAGGAAGCTGAGGCACAGAGAGGAAAAGGAACGGCCATAGACTGCACAGATAGTCAAGTGGATAAAGCAGAAGTTAAAGTCAGACAATTTGGTCCAGACAAACCATAAAAATCAGTGTATTTCCTAAAGGAAGTATGTTGTTGTTATGTGTTGTAGAGTTGGAACGGACCCATAGCTGACCCTCCGGCCGATTTTCAGGGGCAGTTATTTTGCATGGGAGGAAATTACCCATCCTTCTCCTGAGGCCTTGAAATGCATGCCTTTGGGACTGCAGTGCAGTTTCTTGCCACTAGGCCACCAGAGCTCCCTAAAACAGATATATTGGTAGATAAATAAAAGCCCTCATATTTAGGACAAAATTTGAGTCCACAGGTTTGGCTGTCGGGGCAACCCGGCAGCATTCACTCAGGTAACTGAGTCACTCAAGAATGGGCTTCTATGCAGTATTTATCCTTACGAGGCTGTGTTAGTTCACTCAGCATAAAGCTCTCCAGCCTCTCCCAAGTTACACAGTATTTTTTAAAACCATGGCTCCTGAGTGCTGCATAGTATTCCATTGTGGCAATGTACCACAATTTCTCAATCTATTCAGTTATAGTTGGACATTTGGGCTGTTTCTCTGTTCTTATGATGGTGAATAACACACTTGTAAAAATAGAAGGATAACTAGTAAAATATATATGAAACTCAAAGGGAGGAGGGCTGAGGATGGGTGGGGGCAAGACCACAGTGTTGCACAGTTTGGTGGGTGGAGGGACAGGGGCAAAGGAAATGGGAAGGATTGGGCGAAAAGACAGGTAATGATGGGCAAGGTCCAATGGTGATAATTTCATAAAACATAATGCATGAGAATGAATGTGTGAAACACAATATGAATGAAGAATAGTGTGAAATACTGTATATACGAACTTTATACATAAACCAATTAAAAAAAGAAAATAGACTTTTTTTTTTTGTAAGAATAGACTTTTAAGCACTGCCCTTCTTCGTGCCTCTGGGTTCAGGCTGTGTCCCTACCTAAGCCACCTCTGTGTGACCTGGAGGCCTAGGCCTCTCTCTAGGACCTCACCTGCTCTTGCACACGACTTTTCCTAGGGTTCTTTTTTTCCGGGGCCTAATCAGATGTCGTGGTTGAGAAGATGCTTCCCAGAGGTGGGCTGTGGGCCAGGAGGGCCTACTTTCAGGAGGGGGTAACTTACAGAGATGCTGCGCCCTTCCTTCCCTCCAGTACTTACTCCTTCGATTCTTGCAAGACCAGCCCCCGAACTACGATGACCTGCCCGGGCCAGAGGCCGCGGGGGAGAGCCTGCGAACACGGTACTTCCTGAGGGAACACACGTAGCAGATGTCAAAAGGTGACTACTGAGGAGGGGATTGCCTGTAGGAGGGGCCTCTTGCCCCCAGAATTGGCTTCCTGAGCCGCCCTCAGGGGCCAGTGAAGCTTCAGAGCAGGTGAGTTTCTGTCTCCGAATTTGAAACCAGGAGAAGACTCAGCACTGTTTCTTTATTCAACTTCTCCTGCAGGCCGGGCTTCTGGTCACCACTGCTCCTGCCCACGGCTTTCTCGGGGCCCCTGAATGTGGAGTACATCCCCTATCATTGTCTCCTTAAGCATTCTGGTCTTAATGGTCTGGCTCTCACACTGGCCTGGGAGCTCCTGGAGTTCTCGGAAGGGCCTGGCATAGAACAGTCATTTAACTGTCACATCAAGCATAAAGCAAAGGTAAAAATGAAACTGGAATTTCAATCTGAAACTGACTGGCCTTCCCAGCAGCCTGCAGTTTTCTGTGAAGGGAGGGGAAACCCTGCTGCTGCGAAGGCCTTTTCCACCAGGTGGAGCTCCCGAGCAGGTAAGGAACTACACGCACCATCAGCAGACAGGAGGCAGGAAGGTCACTCACCAGCCTGGGACTTTTCAGCAAGAAGGGCTGTAAGGAAGGAAGAAAGAGACAAGGAGGAAGTGTGTTGGCTTAATGCAAGGGGACCACTAGTAGTATTATTAAAGTTTGGGGTATCTGGGTTGTGTCTCCCCCAGCAGCAGGGGACTCACTGATGCCCACAGGGGTCCTCTTGAACTCAGAGGATCACCAGCTGTGGAATAGTAGGGAAGGCAGGACCAGAGAGTGTGTCGTACTCTCTCTATGGCCTTGGACGAGTACATGGGTTTTGTCTCTCGTGGTCCTGAGGGGCCAACCCTAGCTACCTCACAGAATTGCTCTACCAGGTCCTGCCTGTTTGACGCATCCAGCTCGGCCCCATCCATCCTCCCAACCCAAAGACAGGAGAAACCAATTCAGGATCTCCAGTGACTGAATTTAAGATTGCTGTCTGCACGGCCGCTGAGGGCAGAAGGGGCCAGAGGGTCTTGTGTCATGTGAGAAGCAGCCCAATGAGGGACAGGTCGTGTTGGGGGAGGACAGAGCACTAGCTGTCCAGTTAGTGGGGCTGTAACCACGCCCAAACCACTCACGTGTCCGACTGGGTACTCTCTTCTGCCCTCCAAAAATGGCTGTGTGGAAAGAGAGAACAGGCAGGATCAGGCCGCTGCAAGGCCCCAGGGAGCATTTATGGGGCCCCTACTCTGTCTACTCAGGCCTGGAAAGAGGGCAGACGTCAGCTCTTGCTTTTATAACTTAATTTCCACACACTGCTGGATCATGATTCTTAAACTGGGAAGGCTTCACCTCAGGCTTGAATCCGAATCTCTGTGGTGGCACCTGGAAATCTGCATTTTTAAACAAGGTCTTCTGAAGGAATGATGAAGCCAGCCAGCTGCAGTCTCTTTGGGGCCCCCTGCTCTGATCACTTACCTCCTGGGACTGCTTTTTAGGGTTAGCCAGACCCCACTTGTGCACAGACCTCTGTCCCCCTTTCTGTCATCACCTTTCTTTCTGTGCCTCTGCTCAGATCTGACAGTCCCATGGATCTGACACTCCCTTATCTGTTTCTTTGTCTGGGGCAGATAAAGGGGTCCCCAGGCCTGTTTAGGTGCCACTCAGACCTTGGCATCAGAAAAAAAACACTTACACTGATGTTCACAAATCCAATAGCCTTCACCAAGACATCACCAGATACGCCCAGGGTGTCCACCCGGGAGAGTGGGAGCCTGTAGGGGTAGTGGAGAAAGTGCTGTCCATTCACGCTCACCTGGAGAGAGAGATAAAGAGCTGAATGCCCAAAAAAAAAAAAAAAAAAAAGAGCTGAATGCCCGAAGCAGAGCAGCTAACATTCACCAAGTTCATCATCAGTCACCTGCCAGGCCCTGGTATGCACTTTGACCTGGGGTTTTAATGTCACAGAGGCTCAGGGAAGCAGGTACATTTTATGTATGAGGTGTTGGAGGCTTGGGAGCTTACACAACCCTCCCAAGGTAGCAGAGCCGGCAGATGGCAGAGAGGGCCTTGGAACCGGGTCCCATTCTGTATGCCACTCTGCAGAGGACCTACCGTTTCTCTGTGTAGTCCTTGATGAGACCTGCTCTGTAGACCTGAGCAGCAGCAGGTAGGGAAACTGAGGCTCAGGAGGTGGTGTGATCACCCCATGTCCCACAGCAGATCCCTCGACTGCCCCTGTATCTCCCCCGAGCTGCCTAACCCCCACCTCCATACTGTGGAGACCCTGCCATCCCCCTTATCAGCCAGAGCCTCGAGAGTGTCCCGTCCTCTTAGAATAGAATAGGATAGGATAGGATAGGAT